AAAAACATAAATTTGGGGTGTAAGTTGGATGTGGCCCCTGACACCCATATCCCATGCAAGAGTGCTAGGCTGAGTCGCAGCTACTCTGCTTACGGTTTGGTTTCCTATTAATACTAGTGGGATGCAATAGATGATGGATGAAGTCCTTGGATTCCTGCCACTCATGTGGGAGACTTGGAAGGAGTTCCAGGTAGCTTGTTTTGGCCTCGTCAAGCCCCTACTGTTGTGGCCATTTGGAGAGTAAGCCAGTGTATGAATGATCCCTTTCTCTCTTGCTGTACCTTTCAAGCCGATGAAAATAAACATTACTTTCTTTTAAAAAGATACACAGTGAAAGAAAAAAAATATAGCACAGTTGGATTTGGGGATTGGCAGATGGCAGTACAGCAAACAAACAATAGCGACAGTGAAAGAGCCCTTCGGTGTGACTGGGCTGTTTGCAGGAAGTCAGAGACTCAGAGTTGAAGGAGGTAGTGCCTCCTAGGAGAAAAAGGCTGATTGCATTACTCTAATTCTCCACTGGACTTTCAAGAGAAATTTCACAACAAAACGTTTAGGTTAAAAGGGAGTCAGAAGTGCTCAAGCAATAATAAGGATCTCAGTTATAACCCAGATTTGAGTGGGGACCCTTGGGGCATATCTGTCTTTGATAGCTTAAGCAGCAGCAGTAGAGCTCTTGAAATTAATTGGTCAGTCACAAGCAGTTATTTTTTTAAACACTTTAGTTTTATTGGAAGGACAGATTTATAGAAAGATCTTAGTCTGCTGGTTCACTCTTCAAGTGGCTGGAATGGCCAGAGCTGAGCCAATTAAAGTCAGGAGCCAGAAGCTTCTTCTGGGTCTCCCATGCAGGTCCAGAGTCCCAAGGCTTTGAGCCTTCCTCTATTGCTTTCCCAGGCCACAAGCAGGGATCGGGATAAGAAGTGGAGCAGATCAAACTTGAACCATCACCCATGTGGGATACTGGCACTTGCAAGAATAGTATCAGCCATTTGAGTCATCACACCTGACCCAGCTTTCCTCCTCAGCTGAGCCTTCTTTGCAACTGCAAAATGCAAATGAGTGACGAGATCAATAGCTCCTATTTCCCCCGCTCACTCATTCAGCTCCAGGGAGGGATCTTGGAGAGATCCTTTACTCAGCTAAGTAGGATCTACCTTCACGTGGCTGGTGGCTGAACACAGGGTCTTACCCATTGGAAGTGAAAAAGTACTGACTTCTTTTTTCAGGCTGTCTTAGGAAGCAAATCCAGTGTCCTTGTTTTCTGAAGCATGTCCCACACATTCTCATCCACATGGATCCCCCTTTAAGCTCCTGTAATATTTGTAAAGGGAAATGGAATAATCACTCCAAGCCTGCCTTTCTTGCCTGTTTCTCTACGTTGGAAAGAATGCCTGACATTGAGTTGCAGAATACATGAAGGAGGGGAAGAAAGGAGGACGGTCACAGGATTGTTTAGTGGTGGCAACACTGGTTTGGAGGGAAAGCTCTGATAACCCTGTCTGCACTTCTGCTCTGTTCCCTGTGAGCACACTCCTGTGGGCCCCATCTTTGTCTTGTACAGTGGTCATCCCACTCCATTTTGCCTAGCTCTGTGAACGTCTGTCATCTCCATTAGCCCAAGATCCGTGCCAAGTATAAATGTTGCTCACGCATTTATCCATTGTGGGCAGCGTACATCCTAAGTTCTCTACCAGAAATCATGAGAAATAGTGTCAAGTACAGGATGTTGGTCCAGTAAGTATTTTTGTGGACTCCATGTTGTATTGACAGTACCCCCAGCCACTCCCACCTCTATCAGACTATATCAGCATTTGCAGAGGTGGGAAGCAGGGGGAAGGAAGCCACTTTTTAAAAAAAGACTTCCTGTCTTTTGGGGTAGTTAACCAGTACTGGTCTGATGTATATTGGTGGAATTCCTCAGGTCATTCTGTGCATGTGTGGGACCTGTGTCCCCTTCATTAAAGGATAATTGATTGAGGTTAGGAGATGGGAGAGTCCTGGGAGATTTTTAATCCTGTGCCATCATGCAACGCTTGCTACATCAATAAGACAGTTCCATGGGGGAATGAGGAGTAATTGAGATGCCACACCAGCTGGAATCCAGATGAAGATACATTTGGAAGCTTAATCACAATCATGTTATACACTAAATATTCATCCGTCTGTCTCCCAAAGAGGACAGGAAATTAAGTTGTCAAGGGCAGGGGGGGCGTGGGATGAAGGTGTAGCTGAAAGAAGAAACCCATGCCTTAGTCTCAATCTCAAAATATGCCAGACTGTGTTCCGTAGGGGAAACCTTCTCCTCTCCTGTCCATTTTTATTTCCTGAGAAATATTTGAGCTGTTTATATACAATTTATCAATTTTACAGTTACCAAAATGGACTGTTAAAATAATTCAGTCTTTTCACTCTCAGATAAATACAGACGAACAGTGCCATCTCCGTAGAAAAAAAATGCTTAAATTGAGCCAATATTGAAAAGTATTAAAGTTGTGTAAACATGCAGAAAGGAGTAGGGGAATTCCTAAACAGAGCTGACGGGTCGTGATTGCACTTGCCTCAGTGCACGCATTCTGAAATGTGGACTCAGCCCTTGAACACACTCAGTAGGAATCACTTGGCCAGTGTGGGTTTTCTTTCTTTTAAATTTTCCAATGAAACTGTATAGGAGCCCATCTCAATGATTCCATGGAGTTTTAATTTCACTGCAAGGGATGATTTCAAACATTTTGGTTCCTACTGTTAAATAAACAAGTTCCTGTGAGATGCTGGCCCACCAATGTGAATCCAGTTTTGGCTTTGATAAACATGTGGTGTCATTTTGTTGTCGTGTGAGGAAACTGGCATTGGATAGGATGCCTCTGGCTGCAAATGATAGGACAGTCTTTGAGTTAGTTTTAACAAGCATTGTACTCTCTTGCACAATGAGGGGTCTTACAGGTGAGAAAACAACAGGTATAATCTGCTGTTTTAGATTGGCTCTCTCGCTGGCCTCCAAGTGCAGCTGAGATGTCTGTGGGTTGTCCCAGCTGTTGCTTCCCTACAGTTCAGTGTCTGTCACTGTCCTTCTCTCAGGAAGGCGTAAACATTCCCAGGATGCCCACTAGTAGACTTGTTCTCACTGGACCTGCCTGAGTCAACTCACTGTGACTAGTTTAGAGCCAACTTAGCTTTGAGGTGGTAGAAGGGACACACCCATTCTCCCAGCTTTCTCTGCAACACAGCCAAGGTGGAGCTACCAGGGATACCACTGAATTCAGATGGGGCAGCAGAAAGAGCAAAGGTTGTGGAACCAGACACCCCTAAATTTGAATGCCATCTTGTCCCTGCATAACTGTATGACCCTGGCAGGTCACCTGACCTGGGTAAGCTTCACTGACCCTTAGTTAGAATGTGGGTATGAGACCAAGCCCTTAGAGAGATTGTTGAGAGAGGAGTTAGAGTGGGTAGTAGGCAATTAGGGTATTCTGGGTCCCCGAGTAAAAAGAGAATTTCCCCACCATGTCTTGGATTCACCAGGGCACGTTTCTTCCAAGGGACAGGGGTGCTATTAGCATATCAATTCCCCACCTGAAGTATGGCCACTACCTCTGGCCATTGTGGGAGGGCCTCAGGCTGATCTCTTTATCATTGAAAGGAGAGCAGGAAGAAGTAATACACATCTGCCTAAGGCCTGGAATGTCCTATGTCTGGCACCTCTGTGGCCTTTTGTGCCAAGGCCAGGTACCATGGAAACCAGGAATTTTCTTTGTTCATGGAGAAACATCTTTGAGGGAAACCTTTAAAAGGTGCATTTCCCCACCATTGATTGGGGGTTCTTCTTTTCTTCCTGCCACTATGGCAGAAGGTTTGGCTTCTTGTCCTCCTGCCACTATGGCAGGGGCTGAGGGTCTTTTCTATCTCAAAACCCCCTCCCGTCACTAGGATGGGAGTTTTTCTTCTCAGCTTTTCTAATAAATCTTGCTTTAAAACTAAACTGTGTCCGCATGAAAATTCTTCTTTCCTGCGAGACAAGAATTTGAGCTTGTTGCCATACTCGGAGTCAAAAATCCTGCAACATTGTGAAAATGAGAGCATAGGATGGGCTCTTCTCAACTGTTATATGTATATGGAACTGTCTTGGATATGAATGTATCATGCATGTACAGAGGTATACTGCAGAAAGTTCGTGGCAAATAGAATTAAAATACAAGTTTCTTTGGTATAAACAATATTTGAAATCCATGCAGTTACTTTCCATGAACTTTTTTTCTCTTCTTATTTGAAAGATTCTTTCATCTGCTTGCTGTTCATGTTACAGATGCTCATAATGGGGCCGGGATAGACCAAAGCCAAGAGCTCAGAACTCCCTCTTGGTCTCTTATGTGGGCGGCAGGAACCGAAGTACTTGATCAGCTGCTGCCTCCCAGGGTGAGCAGCAGCAGCAGGAAGCTGGAGCAGATGTAGACTAGGCAGAATCAAACCCGCTACCCTGAGAAGCAATGTGGGCACCCCAAGTGGGGATGAAAGCTGCTGTGCCGTATGGCTGTCCCGCTAATAACTTTTTGAAGTCCTCTCATACACATAGATTTCAAAAATGCTTGGACAAAAAAATAAACTTTCCTTTTGTGTGAACTTTTTGAAATAATCCTGTGGGTAGATGTATATACACATACTCACAAGTATTCAGTCATCAGTTAGCATATTGTGAAGATAACGTATGCACCGTAGTCGGTCAGATGTTCCTGGTGTTCTGATTAACAGTATTCAAAATGGAGATCATAGACCAGCACCAGTCAGCCACCTTGTATTCCTGGACCACAATAAGTATTGGAATTGAGAGTCAGCATTCATTGCATTTGTAGTGCTTTGACATTGCTGAGACATCCAAGCCATGTACATTTCTTTAATGCTTTGTGTTATATTCTGCAAAAGTGGCGTGCATGATTGATTGGGAATGTAAAAGAATTCAAAGAAAAAGGAAACACACAGAACACAATCCGGACCTTCATAGTTGGACGCTCCTCCTTGCCTTTCAGGTGCAAAGGCTTTATTAGGAGTGAGAAGAGATGGCTACATAAAGTTGTGAAACAAAAGTGCAAACACAATCGTGAAGAATACTGCCAGCAGACAGCCGTAAATGGGCAAGCGCCACAGCAGGGGCTGGGATAACATGTTCCACAGACGGCCGTAGGGCGAGGTTGCCCTGTGGGTCGATTCTTCCTTAAGCAGGTGCATTTGTTTTGATTTCGCTGGCATCTTGGGCCTCTTATCAGGGACTGCGCTTGCTCTTTCCCTTCTCATTTTGGCAGCCTTTTGGGTTAATCTCCTGGTGAGCGAGGACCTGCAAAATGAAACTGGATGGAGTTATATGTCAGACTCCAACAGGCACACACTAAATATCCCACTCCATTATCCCTGATGGGGCTTTGATGTTGGCATGAAGCACGTCAGATTACACAGGATGTCATGTCATGTGTCAAATCGGGGTTGGAGACTCCATCCTGACACTTTAATTAGTAGGGGGGGATGGGCGGTACGGGTGTGTTATTTTTCTGTTCCAAGGCAATGACCCTAAACTCCTACTGAGAACTATTTAGTTATGGCCATAAAAAAAAGCAGCTTCTCTCCTTCTAAAAACGTAGCTTGTATCCCCTATGAGCATGGCTGTGGTGTCACCTAATGGAAACAGCCAAGGGCCAAGAGATGGAGAGCTTCTCTAGACTCCAGCCCGGAGAGAACAACCTGTATGAGGTACTCTTCATCTTCAGCCATGTGTGTGATTCTCACTTAACTATATAGCTACTACTCATGCTCCTATATAACTCCTGGGAGTATGAAGCTACTTCAGGAGTCTCTGGAATATGGCAGTTAAAATCTGGTTTGGTGCAAAAAACTTTGGAAAGCACACATTTTCCCTGAATTTCTTGCAGACCCCTCCTGTTAGCTGCTGAAGATAGTGACACCTGTGACATTGCTTAACCTGCGGTGAATGATGGATCACCACGTTGCAGTGGGCGGGGGGAGGAGGGGAGCTGCAGTCAAAGGCCTCTGTTGTTTTGTTTTTTTAGAAACTATACTCATTACCTGACCACAGTTAGTCCCATCTCTGAAAATACCATCATCTGCCTGTCCCACCCAAAGCAGGGGTGAGTGTCAAGGCTCTAAGATAGATTCCACCCAGAAAAGTTTCTAGGCATGACCAAAGCTCTTTGCACTTGTGAACGTGGCCTTGGTAATGGGAAACCTGCACTTTGCTCTCTGTTCCCGGAAGAAGGTCGTCCAACTTAATACCTCGTGAAATCTCTGGGTGTCAATAAACCGCATTCATTTTGACATCTAGACTCCTGTGTAATTAAGACCTCTGGTCTGGTGCTTGGTTTATCAGTGTGTGTGTAGATTCTCATTTACATAAGACTTGGGTTTTCCCCAGACACTGACAAAAAAAAAAATACTATTAACAATGAAAGAGCTGAGGATAGAGTTACAACCCTTCGTGTCTCTAATCCCTGCTTAACATTTCCCCTAAAAAGAACATTGCCCTATTTGGAAATTAAACGCTACACACTGGGGTGTTCTTTGTGGAGCGAGAGGGGAGGTAGGCTTTCCAGGGCTTTCTTTGGAGCTTGAAAAACATCCGATTTCATCCCCCTTATTCAGCCAGGAAGCCAAATCTGCTGCACAATGGGAGGGTGGATTCTTCCTCTGCCTTTGACAAAACAAGGCTCCAGCTTTTCCACCTCCCTGCTGCTCCGCGCTAAAAACGGAGGCTGGCCTCAGAGATGCCCTAGGTGCTCTCACCTTGTTCTGTTTGTTCAGGCCTAGGTCTGTTGGATGTAACTGGATCCTGCAAAAGAGGAGAGTGACTCCTGGGGGTGCTGCTCCCCCACTCACCCCTCTGATCCATTTCAGAGCTTCCTCTAGGGTGCAAACTAAGGTAGGTAGGACCCAGTGCTTTGGAGATGCCCCCTTTGCTGCTCACATTCAGAACTGTAAAGGGGAGGGGATGGGGCAGTTAATTTTTGCAACTCTGATGAGAAATGCTGTATCTAGAGGTAGGAGCACTTTCACAAGGAGTGTGTCTTGTGGGACACAAACTATGGGACCTGAGAAATGGCACATCCTCTGTGGGCCTGCATTCGTCATGGATGTGCTCGTGTGTAACGCTGGGGATGAGGAAAGGAGCCCTATAATAACGCACTGGAGATGCTGGTGTTTAGTCCCTCCGTGTATGTTCTAAGTAGAAGGTCATCAGGGGGTGCTGTTCAAGGAGCCTCCCATTGCTCCGTGTCCCAGGGCAAGTTATTAATACCTCTCTGGGCCTCACATGCCCTATCCCACAAATGCACAATCACGATGCCCACCCTGTAGAGCAGCTGTGAAGAGCACATGAAAGAATCCTTATAAAGTATTTAGAAAAGTGACTGACATGAAGCTGGCACTCCAGGCTGCCTATGATGTCTGGCAGCATTATCATTACCACGACAAATGTCCCCTTCTGAATGAGGGAAACAATGATGGCTACACTACCGCTAGGGGTCCCTACAATAGCTGGTATCTATTATCTATTCAATGCTGACGGCGTTTGATGACATCCAAGAGTGTAACCACAGTTTGCATACAAATTCTCAGGATTCCCGAGATAATACTAGTGCTTGGACTCTGTGCCACAGACTGTGACTACATTAATGTAGAATCCAGCTGGGTATCAAGTCTTAGCAAAGTTCATCAGGTGATATATCAAAGGCTAGTGGATGAGTGTTAATTTTGATTATGAACAAAGCCCTGGAATGTGAATAATGTAAGTTGTAGTTCCCCAAGTGTGCTGTTTACCATGGGTGTCGTGTGAGATCCTATTTACATGATTTATTTAATCCTTAATAGTCCTACAACTATTTTAATGTGAATTAGCAAAAGTATAACATTAGTAACTCTGATTTCACAGGTAATTTTTTCAGGTTAAAATTTTTCTCTCTCTTTGTTTTTTTTTTGAGAAATTTATTTATTTTGAGAGGTAGAGAAACAGAAAAAGAGCTCATGCCCCAGATACCTGCAGTGACCAAGCCTGGGCTGGGTCGGAGCCAGGAGCCTCACATACGCGGCAGGCTCTTACATGGGACGCGGGAACACAGTTGCTTCAGCTGTCACCACTGCTGTCTAAGGCCCACACTGGGATCAGGAAGCAGCGCTGGGAATCAAACCCAGGCACCCTTCCAGAATGTCTTTACGAAAACAGCATAGTGGGTGGGGAATGCCTGGTGATGCAAACGCAATTGTTTGGTATAGAAATGATTGAAGTTTGAAATATATGATAGGACCTGTTGATATAATTGAGTAAATGTGATTAATCTAAAGAATAAAATAATGTTTTCAGCTGGGTGCAAACATTTTTGCATTGAGAAGTAAAGGGAGCTTTTTTTAATGCAGTGAAAATTCTAACCCCTCAAAGAATATAAAATTCTTTGTTTCTAATAACTTAGTTTCAGAGTACAATAAAAAATAGGATAAATGCAACAATAAAACTAAGTCAACTCCTATTTTCTCAGAAATATACATATGTTGCATATATTGGCATAGCTGGTGATACCATGCATTTTCATAATGCTTTAGCACTGACATAATACTTTGACATTGTTAGTGCCCGGCTGAGACTGGATTATTAGCTCCTTGTCCACGTATGGGACAAATGAAGTCCACAGGGATTAGGAGAGTTGCCTGTCTCCTGTTACACAGCCACGGCATGATGGTACAAGACTGGAACTACATCCTGTCAATCCAAGGTGGTACTTTTTATTGCCACCACTTCTGCTCTTCTAAATCTTCTCCATGATGCCTGCTCACTGTTGCATAATTGCCCTGCAGGACTTGTCACATGTTGTAAGAAAGGAAAAGTCCCTAGTAACCTCTTCATAGGTCTCTTCAGTGAAGAAGCTCTTGACCGTCTATTTTTTTTTTCTCAAGGCATTAGCCAAAGTCATTATGGTTGTCAATCAGTCATGACAGTCATTCCTGAAATCTTTGCTATTATTGCTTGCATAAATGGGCAACCCTGCTCCCTTGACCCCTGCTGTCTGACAGCTCCTGCTGCTCTGGGCCCCAGTCAGCTGCTTCTCAGAATTTCTCAGCCAAGCCAGACACCTGTTGCTTCAAGTGCCACTATGTGTAGAGGGGGTATCACTCCCTATCCACCACAATGGTCACACCATAAGGGAGTAGTTAGTACGGAATAAGTCAATAAATACTATCTACATGAATGAATTCAGCGTGAAAAATCTGAGGAACAGCTTACCCACCCCAAGGTCAGGATGCAATTTTCCTGCCTAACTGACTGCAAGCCAGGAGATAGAAAGTTCTTGTGAGAACCTCAAAGCTGGTCGGGGATGGTAGTGCATCTTCCTGAATCAGCTACCTGCTTGCCTAGTGCTGCTACCATGTTGGATATGTTATACAGCAGTGTGAACCTGTCAGTGACCCTCTAAGCTACATCTTTAGGTGAAATATCCGATGACCCCACCCCACCGCCCACCCTCCCATTAGCTCTCCCAGGAGTTTCTGTGGCAACACATAAAAATTAAAGGGTCACAATTTAGAAACTGCATACCTAGTGCACAGATGTAATAACCAGAGCTTAAAAAATTATCTCTGTTTCCAAGGACCTCACTTTCTTCAGTACGTTACTTTTATTAGTCCAACCTCAGTTTCTTTACCATTCAGATAGATGCAGTATTGTTTATCCTACTTAACTCATTGGATTGTTTTGTAGATAACATAAGATAAAAAGGAAAATATGTTGGCTAGGTAAGAGAACTCTGCTTATTTGAGACTGGGTTGCACCAACATTATTTCTTTTCCTCAAGGGCCTTTCAATGTAGGCAGAAGATACACTGATTTCCATAAGGACATCCCAAAGACAAAGTCACGGAGCAAATGTAACATTCATCGACATCCTGGGCTGAGGTGGATGATCAGGAGGAGACAGTGTTCTATAAGAGATCTCAGTTTGTGGATAAGGAGACCTGGGTCTGAGCCTACCAGGGCATCACTTCACTAGCTAGACGAGTTTGGTAGGTCATGTCACCTCTGGGTGCTCACTGGCTCCACCATAAAATGTAGAGAGTGGAGAGCGAGTAGAACATGAAGAAATGGTTATGACATCAGGGTTGTTCAGGGAATCATGGAAGCAATAAAGTTAGCCACAGAAAACATTAATATTTGCCGTGCACTTGTATGTTGAGCCAAGGGACCGTTAAGAAGTTGTCAGGGAGGATGCCCAGAATAGCAAGGAAGTATGAAGAATGACTTGCATGATGGCCTGAGCTTGCAACCAAAGTTGCAATCCAGGAG